GAGGTTTTATAAGTCTATCAATATGAGAATGCATTAAAGGACCCGAGACCCCAGTTTGGGAACCACTGACAAAACCGGTTCATTTCTAATGTTGCTCATGCCGAAAAAAAAGAAGCCATTTTTTCAGGATCAGAATGTATGAATGGAAAATCGGAACACGAGGCCAAGAAGAGATCGAGCTGAAGCATTTTTTCCTGTCCATCAGTCTCTAGCATTCAGACACCGTAGCCATAGCAACGGGAGCAATGTGGGTTTAAGTGTCTTGCCAATGGACACATTGACATTGGACACTAGCGGAGCCGGGGACCTTTTGATTGAAGGACAACTCTGCTCTCCACTGAGGCACAAAAATTCACTTATGAACCTTCATCCATTTACCAAAACAATAACCCCTTTACAACATCTCCGCTCTGAAAGCAGCTTTGTCCTCCATCAGTCAGTGTAACTACTGCGATTTTGGCTGTATAGTAAGATTGTTGTAAAAAGTCCCCCCAAGGCAGTTCAGCAAGATCAATAAATTGGTGAGGGGTGTGAAGAGGAGATGAACAACAAGCTCCCTCTCCTCTGCCAGTCCCATGTCCTCGCCGAGGAGAATGTGGCATCTGCTCGGCTCTTTGTGGAATCACAATTTGTCATGCGTTCCGTGTTCTTCCGGAACCTTAATAAGCGTCGCTCCTTCTCTCCACCCCTCACTTTAACTATATCCTCCCCTGCACTTTAGCGCTCTCTGTGAGGGAGAGCCTTTCCTATCTATCCGTCTTCTCTTACCAACCTATTTTTCATCACTTCTCATCAGATCTACCTCAGTGTTCTCCTTGTTCCTCTCCTTTCTGCCCAGCTCTCCTCTGCCATGTGGTGGTGGATGCTCGGGCTTTTGGCCTGTGTGCTGCTGCTGGCGGTCGTCATCTTCTTTCTGACGGCCGGACGGCGATACAAGGTGTTCAGCGAGAAGAGCCTGAGGCCACCAGCGCCCTTGGTCACCGACAGCCGGCAGAGGGACGACCGGCTGAAGAGAGGTAAGAAGTTGTCTCTGATTCAGCGTTTTGAATCTTGATTGAGACTCTTCTGTCTACCAGAGCTTTGTATTGTCCTTCGAGGTTAAGACCAAATCACGAGCTGGACAGGGCTTGTGTAGGCCTCGTGAGAGACGGGTAACAGAGAGTCTTTCAGAGAGGTGAATTAGGAGAAAGGCAGGAGAAGCCTCACCTCATCTCCAGCAGGGTAAGTCATGTTGCTAGGTAGGCCTGGACCTTCCACATATCTGTACCTCCCAGATATCAGTTTTCAAGACGATATGACCTGAACTTACAGTATTTGTACACAACTTTGTACGTTTTCAAGGGGGGGTTATCGCGCCCCGCCGACAGCCGTCCACCACGCCAAGCTCTTAGCGATGATTTTAAATGCAACCTTTGCTCCATGCAGGCTTTCGTGAGGACCGCGTTCCCCCGGCTCTGGATGCCGTGGTGATCGGCAGCGGTGTCGGCGGTTTGACAGCAGCGGCGCTTTTGTCTAAAGCCGGCAAGAGGGTTGTAGTCCTTGAGCAACACGATCAGGCTGGAGGCTGCACACACACCTTTCAGAATAAGGGATTTGAGTTTGATGTGGGTAAGAAGGCAAAATCTATGGACACACATAAACGTTCTTTCCCTTCTGCTTCAATCTAGATGTGTGAGGAAAGTTCATGATGATAATTCTATTATTATAATACAAAGATTAGCCCATTAGTTATTCTAGTGTATTCACAGTCACTGCATCCGGTATATTTCACTGAGTAAGAGGAACTATACTTGAACATCAATGTGCTGAGTGATGAACCACAGCTGTGATGGCTGATACGAATACAAAGATCATGCTCTCTGTATCGGAGAGGAAGCAGATCCCAATGAAGCTAAACCGCAGCACAGACCTGCGTTTGTACAGCTTTTAATCAACTACGGAGCTCCGTCCTGGAGGCCGGGGGGCTCCGTATACCACTCCATGAGCCAACCTCTTACTAACATACTCCTGTTTGGGAACTTTTTATAGTTTTTAGTTGTTTTTTAAAGTGGTATATCTGGTTTATGCCTAACATACGGTATATCGATGTATGTGTATTACTGTTTAAACGTTTCATTAATAAAGTGTCACAACTGTGTAAAATACAGAAGGGACTTTACAAAATAGAATAGTAGAAAACCCACGAGGACTTATTAACCTCCAACCTCTCGCTGCAGATTTGGTGACGAATTAGTGGTTGTCATGATGGAACAGAGACGTACAGGACTCGTTGCACAACCGTTACTATCTTAACATCCATTAAACATTTGGAAATGTCACGGTTTGGGTTAATGTCTGGTTTTATTTAGTAGTTTCTTGCCTCTGTTCTCCCTGGGTCACGTCACTTCCTGCCTTGTCCTGTCATCCCCTGTGATTGTCTGTCTGTCATGATTGTTTCCAGCTGTTTCCAATCACCTGCACCTCCCTAGTGTATTTAAACCATGTGTGTCTGTTGTCGTGTCATTGTTAACTGTTTGGAAGTCCTGTCCACGTGCCTGTTCCCGATCCTGGTTCTGCCATCGTTTTGGCCTTTTTGGCCTTTTGATTTTGAAAACCTTGTTTGACTATTAAAGTCCCCTTTTGTTGCTGGAAAGAACTCTGCGTTTGAGTCCTCCCTTCCACCCACCCTGACAGGAAAGTTAGGACTGATTCAATGGTACATTTGTTTGGCGTCTCTCACTTCTACACCAATGGGAAAGGCTGCTCATCAGGTGCCGCCTGCTCTCATTTAAATGCTCACGTACACACTGACAAGCTGATGGCGTTTGGGAGCTATTTTGTGGGCTGTTAAGCTCCACGACACATAGACATGCATACGTGAATCTTCAGATTAGAGACCCCGGTCGTCCTGCCGAGCCTCGGCGCCCCAATGACTATGTCTTTTGATACATTTTGAAGTTTGTTCATATTTCATTTTTATCAGGTTTGGCAGCCCTGTTTACTAATCCATAGGATATTGTTTCTGCACCACTACAGTAGCGTATAATTGATCCTCACCGGCTGCATAACGTTACCCACCAGGTATCCACTACCTCGGCCAGCTCCACGAGGGCAGCATGCTGAGGGTCGCTCTGGACCAAATCACAGAGGGACAGTTGCAGTTCACACGGCTGGAGCAGCACTTTGACACACTGATCCTGGGTCAGCGTGACCAACGCAGGTGGGGAGCAGAATCACATTGTGACTATCGCACAGTTGAGTCATTTATTTCCTACTGAGACGCCTCAAGGCTCCTCACACATCTAAAGTGTCACGGTGTCTTCATATTTCCACCCTTTTCAGAATGACCACAGAATGCATCCGACCAACATCTGCAGCCATCTCTGATCCCTTGCTTACTTCTGACCCTCACAGGGAGTACCATATCCATGCAGGGAAGACAGAAATGGCAGATAGCCTGAAGAAGCAGTTCCCAGGAGAGGAGGAGGCCATTGACGAGTTCATGAGATTGATGAAGGTGGAAGGGAGCTGATCATGACAGAAAAGCCAGAAGCAGCAGCATTATGATTTGAGGCCACGTTGTCTTGAAGCACCTGTAGTGTTTCTTATATTATATTGTGTCTTGTGTCTGCATTATCTGCTTGTAGCTTGCCTCACGCCGGACGCCACTCATAGCCACCTTGAAGATCATTCCTTATTGGCTGGCTAGCTTCCTGGTTCGATCCGGCCTGTTGGATCGCATATCTTCAGTGTTCCGCCTAGCAGCAACCAACCATTCAGAAATGATGTCCCGCCTCACAAAGAACAAGGACCTGAAGGCCCTGTCTGCCTACCTGTTCTATGGTGATGGACACACACACACACACACACACACAGTAAAGAGCAGTGTTGTCCTTTAATCAAAGAGTTGGCGCTTCAATCCCCGGCTGTCTATGTGTCCTTGGGCATGACACTGGACCCCCACATTGGTGCCTACAGTTAGTTACTGATAGACAGGCGTCACTGTGCACAGTAGCTCCCGTCATCAGGGTGTGAATGGGTGAGGGATGAGTGTTGAAGAGCCTTGCGTGGTCAGAACACGAGAGAAGAGACATACACATAAGAAGCCCGGCAGATGACACTCTGAATCCTCCTGAATGTACTTTGTGTCCTCTCAGGTGTCCCTCCTAAGGACTCCAGCTTTCTCATCAACGCTCTCCTGCTTCACCACTACAAGCGTGGTGCGTACTACCCGCGGGGGGGCGCCAGCGAGTTCGCCTTTCACATCATCCCTGTCATTCAGCGGGCGGGTGGCGCTGTGCTGGTCCGGGCTCCTGTGCACCGCATCCTGCTCAACCAGCAAGGGAAGGCCTCCGGTGAGGAAGGGAGCTGCAATGAAAGGCAGCTCCACCTTTTTAGCATTTCAAGCAGAGCTCTTAGGGTCTCGGTCAGAAGCCTTAATTGATCGACTCGTCGTTGGGTGTAGGGGAATCAACCAGACCCGGTCGCCATGAACACTTCTGCTTAATTCTTTAAAAAGATTCAAACTGTGTGTCAGGTGTGACGGTTCTGAAAGGCCAGGAGGAGTTTGAGATCCACGCCCCCGTGGTCATTTCCAACGCTGGAATCTTCAACACCTTCCAGAAGTTTCTGCCTCAACCTGTGCAGGACAAGCCAGGTAACAGTATTGGGACTGCAGCCACAAAGTGTCACATTGCACCTTTTTCTCATTTGCTGTCCTTTTGTACTTCGTACTTCCTGCGATGTGTGTGTGTCTGCAGAGATACAGTCCTTGTTGGGCCTGGTGCGTCATGGTATGGGTTCCTTCTTGGTCTTTGTTGGTCTGGATGGAACCAAAGAAGAGCTGGGCATCGTTTCGACCAACTTTTGGATGTACAAAGACAATGACTTGGACACACTGTAGGTTTTTATAGAAGAACAATGTGTTTTGATTATATTTTAGACTGACATACCCCATGTGTTTTTAACGTGTGTGTGTGCGTGTGTGTGTGTGCGTGTGTGTGTGTGTGTGTGTGTGTGTGTGTGTGTGTGTGTGTGTGTGTGTGTGTGTGCGGCTGTAGTATGGAGCGTTACTCTTCTCTGAGCAGAGAGCAGGTACTGGGAAACATTCCCATGATGTTCATCACCTTCCCATCAGCTAAAGATCCTACATCCAATGTCAGACACCCAGGTAACTGGTGCACATATTGACACAGAAGTGTTGGCTTGCCATCAAATCCGATCTTCTCTTCCACACGCAGGCTTGTTTGTGGGAAGAGACGCCACTTAACGCAGAAATACTGGAGGAGGATTAGAAACCTTCAATTATTTCAATCTAACTGCTCCTTTAAAATGAAATGCCTTCAACATTTGATTTAAGAGGTCTATGGTCATATACTAAATTGTTGGCCAAAAAAAAGTCTCTTACTTTTTCTTTTCTTTCATCACATTAGATTATATAACTCTAGCAATGTATGAATAACGAAAAGGGGATTCCTCTTTGCTATTTGTTATACAAATGTCTTCGTCTTTCCTGGTCAAATAGAGAACATGCTTCTGTATGTATGGAACAAGATAATGTCCTATACTTTGACACAGATGTTTTCTTATACACGAACATCTGCATGTGTGTTGTGACTGCCCCACAGCGCTCATCATTGACAGAAACAATTTCAGTTTATTGTTACTTAGTTTGTTGAGGCATGTTTCTTAATATCTAATAAAGTATAAAAGAAAGGTAAACTGAACCGTTATACGAGATCCAAACACT